CTTCAGTCACTAGTGTACTCTCTCCCTCCCTCCCTCCTATTGGAGGCTTCTCTGCATGCCCAAACATAAACCATGAACAGCAGGCAGTTCTTACTCTCAGCTTGGTGGCTCACCCCCAGAGCCTAAGGACAGTACACTTGCCCCTTTCAAGTAAAGTCTTTAAAGATCTACAAGTACAATCAGGCTTCTATTGCAGAGCTAGCTCAAGCTTGGGAAGGCCTTTGTCTACTTCAAAAGAATAGTTTCATCTATTAATAGTGCAGGAAATTAATTTGAGAAAATTATAAACTATAGTTTGACATCAAGAAAACACTTGTATCAGCAATTCATACAAAACCAAATTCTGACTTAAAAAAAAAAAACCCTGCAAATTGACTATTAGAGACATAGACTTCATCATCCCCAGCACCACAAATCTCAGACTTTCAATCCCAAGGATTTAAATTTTTCTATAGATTTGTTTTGTTTTTTGTTTGTTTGGGTTTTTGGTTTGTTTTTTTTTTTTCTTTCTTCGAGACAGGGTTTCTCGGTGGCTTTGGAGGCTGTCCTGGAACTAGCTCTTGTAGACCAGGCTGGGCTCGAACTCACAGATCTGCCTGCCTCTGCCTCCCGAGTGCTGGGATTAAAGGCCTGCGCCACCAACACCCGGCATAGATTTTGTTTTGATGGTATAGTACATAGTTTCTTAGTAAGTATGTGATTTCAACTGCAATAATAAACTCACTTGAACAAGAGGCAACCAAGTCAGAAGAATAAACATTTCCTGGTCATCATAAAATCTGGAACATTTGAGCTGTTACACAGAAATCCTTAAAGATAAGTTCTCTAAATAGTCCATGTGAATGGTCCATCACATCACATGGTGAACTCTGTAGAATTCTGTAGACTTTGACAATGTACTTTTGAGATACTCATGTAAACCAAACTGGCCATGTTTTCTTACTTGTAGCCACTACTGGTCTTAAACAACCCCAATCTTACTGCATCACCTTCCCGCTACTACAATTGCAGTAATACATCATCAAACCTGGCTCTAGTCGTGATATAACCAAACACACATGATCCAATGCCATGTAGCTTTGAGATAATGCTGAGGATGCTGCCTCTTCCCAAGCCTAATGCTATTACAAATACTTCATGTTGGATCATTCAGGTTCCTTGCTATCACAATTTCACCTCTTTGGATACCATAAAAAATGCCAGCTAAGAGGCTAGAGAGATGTCTTAGTGTTCAAGAGCACTGGCTGTTCTTGCAGAGGACCTCAGCTGAGTTCCCAGTACCCACATGCTGGATCACAACCATCTATTATCCCAACTCCAGGGGATTGAACACCCTGTTCTGACCTCTGTGGGCATCAGACATGCATGCGATGCACATCCACATATTCAGACTAAATGTTCATACACATAAAACAAATTCAAAATTATTTAACACAAGTTAAAAGGTTTCTGCAAAGGCATCACTAAATACTGACTTGTTGGCTCTGATTATAGCACATAACATATTACGATATCATGAATGAATTCAAAAGCTCAGATTATAGCCATACTGATAAGATAGCCAACAAGTTAAAAGGTTTGTTTCAAAATACTAGGAAGCATAGATCTATGTTGACTCTTATCACTGACAAAATACACTGGTGGGAACATCAGACAGAGGTTGGTTTTTTATTGATTGATTGGTTTTTTTGAGACAGGGATTCTTTGTGCAGCCCTGGATGTCCTGTAGACTAGGCTGGCCTCAAACTAAGCCTGAGTTGCTGGGATTAAATGTGCTACCACCACTACAAAATACCTGGATTTAGATAGTCTTTGTCACATTCTTTAGCTTTAGGGTGGAGCAATGCAAGACACATCAAGCTTACACATTTTAAGTTTCATTATATGTATGTGTTCAACTCAAGTGTTAGGGTAATTGCAGGATTTCTAGGAGAAAAAAAAAAAGCCTTAGAGATTTAAGTGATTTAAGATTCCTCACATCCCAAAGAACCAGGAAAATTCTCACCCAAGGTTTATGCAGACTTTCTCTAAATGTTCTGTTCTGATTGAGTGCAGGTGCTTACAAAGGGCTCCAAAAGAATGATAGTTTCAGGCCAGGTGGTAGTGGAGCATGCCTTTAATCCCAGCGGTAGGTGGATCTCTGTGAGTTCAAAGGCCAGCCTGGTCTACAGAGCTAGTTCCAGGACAGCCTATCTCCCAAAACCAAAAATATAAACAAACTAGTTCCCGTGGAGTTGGAGTTACATGCAATTGTGGGCACACTGATGTGGTTGCTGGAAACTAAACCCAGGTCCTCTTGAAGAAGCAAACTGTGCCATTTCTCCAGTCCTAAGGACATACACCACACTTGACAAATTCTCATCAACAATGTGCAAAATTTGCACAACAGAGGCTACTCCAGAACACAAGAAGTTGTAGTGAGAGATGTAAAAAAGAATTTAGCTCAGAATTCAAGAAATAACAGCCATGTGTGGCTCATAAACAATGATTCAAACTACTAAAATTCCATTTTGAGAAAACCAACATGTTTGACAACACTGAAATATACTTCTGTAAGTCAAAACAACCATCAACATGTTTATAGAGCAAACACAAATTGAGGAAAACATCTGTAATATGAACAGATATATGCCAACAATCCGAAAGAGGCTTTAATGAGTAAAAAAGCACTAATATCCCAAAAAGAAAATATGCTACACTGAATTAAAAAGAAAAAAAAAAACCAGCTGGGCATAGTGGCACACACCTTTAATCCCAACATTCAGGAGGCAGAGGCAAGCAGATTTCCGAGTTCAAAGACTGTCTAGTTTACGGGAATGGTTCCAAGACAGCCTGAGCTATACAGAGAAACCCTGTCTAAAGAAAAAAAAAGAAACTGGGAACATGGGTGAGGCTAACATTTGCAATCACAGAATGGAAAGTTAAATACTGCGATAGCACTGTTCACCTATAAAGCTGACAACAATACTTCCTTTTAAGGATAATAACCTGAGTTAAAATGTAACAAAAACCTCAGAGCTGGTCAACTTAGCTTGCCTAAATAGTTTTGGAAACCAAATGTCAGTATTTTTAAAAGAAACTTTGAACCACCAACTGTGATTTTCAAGGACATTATCCTGAAGAAACATAACTCGGGAATACAAAATTTTTAAAAGAGATAAGTGTTGCAGCAGCATATCTAATAACAGTCTGAGAATGAAAAGTTCAGCTTCTAAGACAAGGTTAAGTAGATTGATACATCTAGAATACACTGTAACAATAAACTAAGATGTTAAAGGCCCAATACAATGGGGGACTTTTCATAAAGTTTTACAAAGGAAATAGATGGTAAGTTTGACTCTTTTCTGAATGTACCAAATTGTACACACCATTCTTTCCTTTTGAAGTCAGAGCAAATGGGGTCACTAAGTGACATCCTTCTTTAAACACCTAATCTGTGTAACTCAAATTTAGTTTCCAAAAATTCTACTCAATAGTTGTCCAGAATTTCACAACCCTATTAAACACTACAACAATTGCCCTTCAATTCCTAACGGTTAATTAAAAGACATAGACCTCTTCCAAACACTATTTTCCCCCACATAAATCTAGTTTTAAAAGGAACAGGTGAGGATGGGGGCAGACACCTGTGATAATCCAGGTGCTTGGTATTTTAACTCTTGGCTCGGGTACACTTGGGTGGGGCACAGGTGGGGGGGAAAAATCAACGCAGAATTTACATTTTTTAATTATTTTAAACTAAATTCTATGCTTTTTTAAAAAAACAAGGTAAGAATAGGGGTTTGCTTTATTTTGCTTGCATTAACTTTTCCTATGGAATAGAGTTCTTGAAAAATAAACCTGTATGCCTGGCGGTGGTGGTGCACGCCTTTAATCCCAGCAGTAGGGAGGCAGAGGCAGGTTGATCTCTGTGCGTTCGAGACCAGCCCAAGAGCTAGTTCCAGGACAGCCTCCAAAGCCACAGAGAAGCCCTGTCTGGAAAAAGAGAGAGAGAGAGAGAGAGAGAGAGAGAGAGAGAAACAGAAACAGAAATGAACCTGTAAACAATGAGTTTAAACACACCCACACAACAGACTATATAGACTGCCCTGAAGGAACTGCTGGAGCAAACGGGAGATGATGAATTATTTAAATTGTAACCTATTTGTAAAGCATTCCATATGGAGGTCACAGCATATCGAGGTCATAGGTTCAGGGGAGCACCACCCCGCCTCTTTTTGCCCTCCTCCCTCCAAGTTGTCTCCTGTTCCCCGGAATCCACTCCCACCACCACCACCACCCCCACAGCGCTGTGATTTGATACCATGATTGAACTCCAATCACCTGGCAAAACATGAAAGCTCTCTTTCCTCCTGTTTTGCCTAAGACTCTGGTTTTAGACAAACAAAATACACTGGATTTCCTTTCCTAGAACACTAACAATTTAAAAATAGCGTTTTGCAAGAATGGGTATCACTAGGCAAGCTGAGTTCTTAAAAAATTAAATTCGTCATTACAAGTCAAAAGTGAACAAATGACCCCAGTGGAGGAGGGCAAAGACCTCCGGTAATTCTAGCTAAATTCACTATTGAGCAGTGATTAAGGTGACCAAAACCGATCGTTTTTCCATAGAGCTTGTAAATACCCGCCGGCTGCAGGGAGTAACCCTGCATAAGGACCTGGGGAACTACAGCAATTCCCTTTCTCCCACATTTTCTCCCCTGACGGCTTAAGCTGGGAAAGGGCCCGGCAACTCGCCCAGCCGGAATCCTGAGGCTGCCAGGCCCTAAGTCGGGGTCCGGCGCTTGGTGGGCGGCTTTCGGCCGAGGGTACAAACTTGACAATTCGCCTGATTTCCTGTAAACCCACCACCTCCGTCACTTTCAAGGTGACAGCAGCCGCAACCCGCTGTTCTGCAGGAGCTGCGCGGGCCCCACGTGAGCCCAGCCTCCCCACTCACTCCTCGAACTTTGAAACCCCGAGGATACCCGCCCACTCCTCCCGAAAGCCACTCCGGTCACCGTGAGTAAGTTGCAGTCGCCGGGTCTGAGCTCTACGTTCTCCTGAGATCCCCACCGCGGCCAGGATGGGCGGAATGTGATCCACTCCGCACTTGCGGGCAGAGCCTGGGAGCCTGCCCTGAGCCTTCCCTGGAGCCACCGCTTGGGGCTGGGCTCCCTCCACACCCTGGGCGGGCCCAGCCTGGGAGGCGTGTGTATACACCTGGGGCTCGCAGCTGGACCCGGATCCGCACCCGCAGCCCGGTTGGCAAAGGCAGCCAGGCGAGAACCGGGACCCCGGAGCTCGGGAGCCTCAGCCTACCCGCCCTGGGTCACCAGGGGGAGGAGCGAAGGCGGAGAGTCCGGAGCTGGGGAGCCTCGCCCCTAGCCTGCGGCGGGTTCTGGAGCCCAGACAAAGGCCAAGTGGGGGCCCAGAGGGCGGCGCCTAAGAAAACTAACCTGTGAGACGTGCCGGGGTTCCTTGGGTCACGAAGACTCCCACCGAGCTCCTCTACGATCACCCGCCTGGTCCGGCTCCCAGGTTAAATGTCTACTTACCGGAAGCCCCGGGCGTAGGTCCTGGACCCGGCTGCACCTGTTGCCACGTGGGTCGAAATGCGGGTGACTGCTGCACCTGACTGCACCGCGCGTCTCCAGACTACTCACGTCCCCACGGGCGAGCCAAACTGCGGTGCCCAGCTTTGGGGCCCCAGGACCAGACAAGCTAGCCAGAGAATCGGCTCTTCCTACGTCTCCTCGCAGCCTGAGTTCTCTATCCTTTTGCTTCTCTTGACTGGGGGTTGGAAGGTGGGGAAGCTGCCTGTAAAGAACCAGCACTGATTGCTCTCAGTGAGTTCCACCTGAGCGCTATATTGTCGTCTAAAGACAATATAGCGAGCAGATTATTAGCGAGCACCTATTAAACATTAAAGAAACGAGCACTCCAGCTGTTAGATGTTAAGCTAAAAATGGGAAGATAGTGGGACTCGGAGAAGCTAGATCCAACCACTTTAAAGACAAAATCCTTGTTCTTGGACGAACTGAGCAACTTTCAGCCTCAACTAAGCATATTTTAATACAGATTTTTTTTCTACAGATTGATAGTCTACCTGTGAGAGAAAAAAACATTCCTGAACTATTAAATGTCAGATAATCAGAGCTCTAAATTTAATATATGCATATAAAAATACCTGGCATGGGATTGATGAAGCTGTGCAGCAGACGGGCGGGGGTGGGGGAGGGAAGAAGCATTTCAAAAGTTGCCTGTGCTGTGAATGCTGGATGAACAGCTATTAGCATTGCTGTTTATAACTTAAAGTGTTTTCACGTGTACAAGGATCCATTCTTTGCTCACAAGTAGAGCCTGGTGTAAATAGGTTAGATTATTATCTCTATTATTCAAGTGAGAACAGTGAAGTCAGAAAAGCCAAGTGACTTGCAGAGGGTCACACTGTGAAGGAGGGCAAGGCAGGCCCAACTCCCAACTTTTTTTCCTCCATATCCTAGCAGATAACTCCTGTAACTTATCTTTGAAATCCCTGCTGTAACATGATCTCCGTCTAGCAGGAAAATCATGTGACTAATTTTAAAGTGATACACCATTAAACACCATTGGATAATTCTTCCGTATGCAAAAGGCACATGACAAAACAAAACAAAACCAAAAAGGCCACGGATGTTTTTCTGACAAGTCATGAGATGATTATGCTAATTAGCAACAGGCCTCCTCCCCAAGGAGGGAGACTATTCCTTGTGTTAAACATATCATTTAAGCCTTTATAACCCACGTGTGACCCAGATGTTTTGGCCCAACCTACTCCACACACCCCCACACTCCCACAAAGACTCCATTCTATTGTGTGACTTAGTTCTATCTATAGAGAGCCACTTTTACTTTTTATTTCTATAAGACAAATTGAGAAAAAGAAAAAAAACCACTAAAGTAATTGGAGATATTTTTGTGGGTGTGGAGATCAGAAACTTAGCTTCTAATTGCATTCATGTAAAAGAGAAGTGGTCTAGGGATATCATCAGAGACTCTGTCCAGCCAAATAGTCATGAAATAAGGCCTATTGGCTTTTCTGTTCCTCTTGGTTCTGGGTACATAGCAAGGTTCCTAACCTCTGAACTCTAATGCTGACTTGCTATGGACTCCGGGAATGATAGTAAGGACCAGATAACAGCACAGCATAACTTTGTGATCCTGTGTTCCGAAAAAAAGTTCGAATGTTGTTTCCTCTGGGAGGAAATGTGAAAGCTAAAGACTGTATTTTACAAAATCTCTGTTTTGTTTGGCACATTGTCAAAGCTTAGAACACTTGATAGTCACGGGATATTAGTGAATGTGAAGGCAGGCAGTCGCAAAGCAGCTGTGAATGTATCTTATAGTGACCTCTATAGAGGGCAATTCAAAAGACTAACAGAATTATAGATGCACAGATTGCTTTATTAAAAACTCCACATATGAGAATTTATCTTATATTACACCCAACAAATTGCATCTGTATAAAACCTAGTCTGTTTCAGCCCTGTGTCTAGTAGTAATGACAGGTTGAAAAACAACATGCTGATTAGTGAAGAACTCATGAATAAATGTTCATTAATTAAAAATTATGACATAGCCATTAAACAAATCTCATGAAAACATGAAAAATTGTTCAGTGGTAGTGGCCCACTGTTTTAATCCCAGCACTCGGGAGGCAGAGGCAGAGGCAGAGGCAGAGGCAGAGAGAGGCAGAGGCAGAAGGATCTCTGAGTTTGAGGTCAGCCTGGTCTACAGAGAGAGTTCCAGGGTGGCCAGGGCTACACAGAGAAACTGTGTCTCGAAACCTACCCCCCACCCCCACAAAAAAGAATGAGAAGGATCTTTGTACAATTATGAAATAATCTTCTAAAATGCATCATGCATAATTTTAAATGTAAAATCACCTAATAGTATGCTGCCATTTCCACTAAGCAGATAAAATCCATATACTTACTTTGAACCCATATTTTGGTTCATGTAAACAAAATAGCGTGTAAAAATACACTTTCAAAATAAACTCCCAAAATAAATTTCCAGAAACTTTTTTTTTTTTTTTTTTTTTTGTGTTTCCCAGCAAAGTTTTCTCCTTTTTTTTGTAGGCTGCCCTGGCACTCTCTCGGGAGCCCAGCCTGGCCTCGAACTCACAGAGATCCACCTACCTCTGCCTCCCGAGTGCTGGGATTAAAGGCGTTCTCCACCAATGCCCGGTATATAGTTTTTGTTTTTTGTTTTGTTTTGGTTTTGGTTTTTCGAGACAGGGTTTCTCTGTGGCTTTGGAGGTTGTCCTGGAACTAGCTCTTGTAGACCAGGCTGGTCTCGAACTCACAGAGATCCACCTGCCTCTGCCTCCCGAGTGCTGGGATTAAAGGCCTGTGCCACCAACACCCGGCTAAATTTCCAGAAACTTATATGGCTCATGGTATATTTAAAGTATCTTGGGGAGTCCAGAAAATGGAGGGTAATTTTGAAAAGAAAGATTTTACTTAATATAAGTTCACACATTTTACATTTTGGTCCAAGTTAATAATAATAGACATTTTAAAGATGTTTCCCCCCTTTTTATTTGCTATAAAGAATGAATATATATATATATATATATATATATATATATATATATATGATGTATCATATATATATGATACATGGTCACATTTCCAGTGCTCTAACAATGGGGAAGCAAAACTGCTCAATTGCTACTGTTAACCTTGCCTCTTCTGCAGTGCATTTATATATAAAAACTTCTGCACTCAAAGCCTAGCAAATGCGCTGTGAGAGGGTTGAAAATGGTGGGACTGGAAATTCCTTTTACTAGTATTAACATTTCACAGGATAAAGCTTGAGCATTTTCCCAGGGTCACATTAAAGGGGAAAGGAGCCTGGGCTTAATTCTCAATGGGGAAACTCCAGCAGTTCATTTCAGTAGTGAGGAAGCAATACCATGGGAATCCCTTGGAGTCATTTTCACTTTGTTCCAATTCAGCTCCCTTTTTTTGTTACTTTCTTAAACTTCCACTGATATTTCATTGAGCAGGGACTTGAACAACTCTAAAAGGGAGAGCAAATTCTTAAAACTGACTATCATGAAAGATACATATTTTTGTATGGAAAAGCGGCAAACAGAATGTTGAGCAACAAATTAAGGTATCCAAGTGTCCTAACCAGTTCATAATTGCTATTTTCAAAAGGTGTTATCTAAGGAAGGGAAACTCTGTCCAGCACTGAAGTCCAAGAAAACAAAACAAAACAAAACAAAAAGTCTTTCTTTTTTAGTTAAAGATTACTGAATGAGGATGGCCAGGGAGAAAAAGGAAATATATTGTGGCCCAATAGTGGAGCATTTACCTAGCAAGTATGAGGCCCTAGGACCTGAGTTCAATCCCCAGGACACACACACGGACAATGATAGTTTCCCACTCAGGAGCCAGGCTAATTTCATCCCAGCCTTAGAGCAGTATTAGATGTTCAGAGGTTGGCTATAAATAGACATGACTAGGGGCAGCAGCTCCTTCACGTATACTTCAGTTCTGACATGCTCATAGTAGAATTATAACATCACCACCAATCTCTTGCCTCAAAAGTAAACAGTGGCTTTCTACAACATTCCACAAACTTGCCAGACAGCCATGTCATTGTGGCTGAAGAAATGTTAGCAGTTGTAGCAACTGCTTAAAAAAAATAATAATAAAAGAGCCCAAGTATGTTTGGATTTTGTGATAGTGCTAGTGACCTAGAGAAAATGTACCTTACAAATGTCTAATTCCTGTGTCTTGAGATGGCAAGCTAGATGGCCTGATATATAAACTGACCAGTTATAGCAATTGCTACATAGGAAGAAAATGAGAGCATGAAAACTGTGAAATGTCCTGAATAACTAACAGTTCGTGGGTTTCTGCTGACCTTTTCCTAATGGACTTGCAAATTCAGCTGGACTCCTTCCTGCATGTTCTCGAATGGTGTCTATCAGAGTCAGTCTTCTCTTGCAGACTTCTGCCAGTTTGTAAATGAAACATCTCAAGGGAAGGGTTTTGCCACAGCAATACTGAGGGAACATGTTTCCTTTTTATCCAAACTATCTGAGACCTAAAGTCTCCAATTCTCTTTCCTCTCCCCCAACCAATGGTTGCCATTTATAGACCCTGCAGAAGGAAATGTTCCTTTAACAAGATGCCAAAATTATTTTAGTTCACATACAAACAAGCTGTGCCATAATTCTGCTGTGAACCTCATCATATTAGGAAGAAATTAGGAAAAATATAGCACTACCAGTTTGTTACGCAAACCCGTTGAAGATGTTTACTTTGTATGCCTGAAATGGCGTGACT